AGCAGGGGAGGGGAGACGTAGGAGGCAGCCCTCTGGATGCGTGGGGGACAGCCGGGCTCCCAACAGGGAGCTGCCAAAGAAGCTGAGAGTGGCAGTGCTCCTAGCCCAAACTGCGGTGGCTGTAAGTCGACCTAAAATAGGTTGACTTACATTTTTAGTATAGACCCACACTGAGTAAAAAATGTCTAGTCCCTAGAATTCGTCTCTGTCTGTACTAGACTTTATCTGCTGAAAATAACTGTTAATGTCTCTCTCCGGGTGCCGGACAACTGAATTATATTTAAAAAAAAAAAAAAAAAAAAAAAAAAGCTTCCCTGTAAAACTTAAGGTTGGGCCATGTGAAGCTGTAGCTCGACATTGATGCTTTTAAACCTTTGGGGATAGGAACTGGTGTGGGACTTGGATGGGTGGGATAACAGTGAAGAAATGGTTCTACTGTTGTGTCGAGAGAAATCTTATGCCAAGGCCTTTTATTTATTTATTTATTTATTTATTTATTTACTTTTATTTCCACAGAGGCCTGGTGTAACAGTTGAATTCTGTACTTTTGCAAACCATCATATTTCTGATAGTCTGAATGACAGTCTGCTTCCTGTAGTCTCTGGCAAAATGCTAGACTATGTCCCCAGATGGCTGAGCAAAGTCCTTCAACAGCAAATGATGCATCATTGAATATGTCAGGCTGAATTAGAAAGCAGGCTCATCACATTAAGCTCAGGCTCTGAACTGGCATTTCCTATGTTCTAGTGTCACTTGATCCTGGCTGTCATACCCCTATTCCCACCTCAGCAGCCATGGGAAATCTCTTTGGTCGGCATACAGATAATACACAAAGTAATGAAGCAGCTTGAAGGAATGGTTTATTGGCAAAGGAAGCATAGGCTGACACCTTTCTATTATATTAAGTTGCCTTAAGAATGTTATGCCTAAAAATATTACTTATGTCCTCCTTTGCATGCACAGTTTTTGACTGTATGTATTCATCCACTGATGACTTACTTGGGCTATAGATAGTTAATAAGATACAAGGAAAAGTAGCTCAGTCAGTTTTCCCCCCCATCTCCTACATTATTCTTTCTAGTTTCCTCTGTCTTCCCATCTCCCAATTCCATTATTTTACCATAAAGTGGGAGGAGGAATCTATTCTGACATAGGTTTCCTTTAAAATTATTATTTTAATAACAAAGAATATAAAGGAATTGCTGGTTCTGGGGAAGGGATGGTTTAGTCAACCAATAATGAAATATCTACAGTGATTTTTTTTGTCCGCCTCCCCCCGCCTTTTCTGTGTAATTGCATTTCACAATAAGTTCCTGGCTATAACAGCAATGTAGCAGTAGTTTGGAAGTGTTAATAGTGGGAGCCTGCAAACACATCTGTACAGATGGGCCCCTGTGCCAGCACAGAACTACATGGCAGGAGTCCATCTATATGGATTTAATAGTAGAACTGAGGTGTCAAAATGCTGTTCAGACTACTGCAGCGTGGCAATTAAAGATGTAATTTTATTTTAAAAAAATATCAATTTAGCATTTATGCTAGACCTTTGGTGTTCAAGTAATCATCACAACAGTATTAGTAAGTATTAATATCTTCATTTTTCAAATGGGGAAACTGAGGCAGAAAGGTTAAATGACTTGGCTGTGGGCAAAGAGAGAATCATTGCCAGAGTGGAGAGTAGAACTCAGGAGTACCTGACTTTCAGTGCAGTGCTCAAACCTAACCAGAACAATGCCTTTCCTCCAGACGTAAGGGATTTCTACATCCATTTTTTCCTACTGTTCAGTCTCTCAATTGTATCTATTAATGCATAAAACTGTGAGAGGTGATGGGCTTAAATGAATGTGTGTTCATGAAAAGTGCAGGATTAAATCTCTGGGGACTAAAGATAACCCACAGGAGTGTCAGTGCCCAATGACATGGTGGTTTCTGAGATGCACACATTTGTCCACTTAGAATTGAGCTGAAACCACCAACTTATTTCACGCAAGACACCAAACAACCATCAGATGGAAACTACCAGACAGCCCTGATGTAGATCAGATCCAATTCTAGAGGCAAAAAACTAGACTAAACACAAAAACTAATTAATGTCACTGAACAGTCTATTCTCACAATAAATACACAGTGCCCTGAATTAACCCAGCTGTAGGTCAGATTGTTTAAATGTTATCCAAGTATACTGATCTGGAAGTTGCAATTACATCAATTTTAAGGCTGAAACTATTTTTTTTTCCTAATGCCTTGCTTTTGTTCCTTCTCTTGACAGGTTCCTGTACTAAGGCCCATGGATCTGATGGTAGAGGCCACTCCTCGAAGAGTATTTGCCAATGCACACACATATCACATCAATTCCATATCCGTAAACAGTGACTATGAAACCTACATGTCAGCTGACGACCTGAGAATAAATTTATGGAACTTTGAAATAACCAATCAAAGTTTTAGTATCCTTTGATTCATAAACCTTGCTAGTGTTGTTGTCCAATCGAGATTGGTTCTTGTATAACCCAGACTTGAGAAGAATGAGCTCATCTGAATTTTGTGTTTACATCTTTTGGAGGGCTTTTCTTTTTTTGTCTACAAATTCTATTTGTATTTGAATTATGTTTTCTCTTACTTACCATGATATTTGTCTAATGGTTGTTTATATATGATTGTGTGTACACAGTCAGACAGAAACTGAGGTCCTTATGCAGCTTTTATTCATTCCTTATTCGGGCGAAATTGTCAAAGAAGTCTATGGAAGTTTAACTTAAGGAAGGACTGAATAAGAACGAAGCAAAATCTTCAGGATTTAGCCTATTCTGATTTGTTTTTCTATAGGATGTTATTAGTTCTGTTTTTATTACTACAAACCATCCCATTCAGTTACCTTATGCCAGTGGTCCCCAACATGGTGCCCGTGGGCGCCATGGCACCTGCAGGGGCATTTGTGTGCGCCCGCCAAGAGCTCGGGGCTGGCCTGGCCCCGGGCACGTGGCGCATGCATGGTGCCGGAGCCGGCCCCAGGCGCATGGCGCACGGTGAGCGCCGGCCCCAGGAGCGCCGCGGACGCTAGGGAGGGAGGCCCGGCACCCGGGTGCACAAGTGTCCCCGCCCTCTGGTGCCCAGCGGGTGAACAGCCATGCCCCCTGGCACCCGGCAACCTTAAATGGTTGGGGACCACTGCCTCATGCCATTAGGTTTTTTTATACCAAGATAAAAATGTAAAGTAGGAACACAATGACTAGCTAAATAGGCCAACTTTGTTTGGTCCATCTAAAAACTAGGTTTGGGGGGAGCTTTAGAGGTGAGATTCACAACCCAGACATAATCAGATCACAAAGAAAAACAGTTGGAAAGCAAGGGCGAGGAGTCCAGGTACAAGGTCAAAGCAAGGGATACAGAACAGGACACCAAGCAGAGAACCCTGGACAATGCTCATTGTCCAGAGAGCGTTGACCAACATGGAGACCTTTGTCTACCAGTAGGAAAGCAATAGAGTCAGCTTCTCTGACTTGATACCCTATGCTAGTAATGCATCAGTTCTAGTGGAAGAGAAGGTAATACCACTTCTTTATTGCTACACCATCTGGTTCCACATGCACAGGTTGGTGCAGAGTCTACTCAGGCCAAGTCTATCCTGCAAACTTAAATTGATGTAACTATGTTACTTCTGGGTGTGAAAAATGTACACTCCCGAGCAAAACAATTAGATTAACCCAGCGTTTCCCAAACTATGGTCCGCGGCCCAGTAAATGCCAGGCCCCAGCGTGCCTGGTGGCTGCCAACTCTTAGGCTGATTCGACCCATTTGGTCAAATCGGGCCCCACGCCCCTGCACCCGGAAGTGCTGGTGAGTTGAGAGCCGGGGCCCTGCTCCAGCACTATGTGGAACTGGGTCTCTCCCTGCGGGTCCTCCCACCCCGCCCCCAGAGCGTTCCCCTCAGCCCCGGACGTCCCTGCCGTGCGCAGCTCCTCCTCGCCGCCCGTGCGCGGCGTTGCATGTGGGCAGGGAGGACGCCCGGGAGTGGCGTGATGTCACGGCCCGGGGGTTTTGAAACCCGCGGGAGGCACGTGCGATGCCTGGCTGACTCCGGCCCCGCAACGTGGAAGGAGAAGATGGGGAACCGGCTCATGCGGCGGAGGCGAGGCGAGGGAGAGGAGAGGCGGGGGGGGGAGGCACCAAGGGACAGGGGTGCACGAGAGAGATACAAATGGCAGGGGGCCAAGTGCAGACCATGAGGAAAGGGCAGGAAGGGAGGTGTCAGTGGGAGGGGGGACAGGGTGATGCTGGGAGAGGAGAGGGAAATGGCACTGAGGGCTGGAGAGGGAGGTGCTGGGAGAAGGCTTGAAAGAAGGGGTGGGCATGAGGAAAGTCAGGATGGAACAAATTGTGTGTGAGGGCACAGCGGGGCAGGAGGGGAATGGGGCAGAGACTGGTGAGGGGGTGGGTATTAGGGAAAAAGAGGGCAAAAGGAGGCACCAGGAGGGTGCAGGGCTAAGGAAAGGTGCAGGTGCCAGGGGATTCTGGGGTGAGGAGGAGGGGAGAGCTGGCCACCGGAAGCAG